CTGTAAGCCTCAAATGAGCAGTGACTGATTGGAGCACTTTCATGCAAAATATACATGCACGTACCTCGCCTCCAAAAAAACTATAGTTGAAGGCTAGACGCTAATATACTAACCATTAGATTCCCTTTACCAAGTGTCCTGGTGGCCACTTGCTTACAATGCGAAAAATATAGAAGTTGATGACTGTTGGGTTCCCAATTTACGATCCCGATTATTGCGTGGCATCTAAATATTATATCATTTTTTGTGCATTAGTACAGGTCTTTCAATAATAGTAGATGCCTGCGCACAGGGTTGAGGACACAATACAATCTGTAGTTCATGAACACAATACACCCTTGAGCTATACCTTTATGGGTTACCTGCCAGCGGGATAACTCACCATTCTTGAAGGAAACAAACTCATTAAAAGGTTTCTGGCCAGCCAGGTCAGCCAGTCAACAACTTTGAGCCACAAAACAAGCCATTAAAAAATGTTTAGTGCATTGACAGTGGCAGAGACAGCCACAGCTCCATCCCCAGCAACAGCAACAGAAGAGGCAACAAACTGCCAAACAAGTTCGAAGGGCAAAAAGTGTAAAAAAAAGTCCGCTCCGGCAACGGCAACAACAAAATTGAAGGCAAATGTTTAGTGGAAGTTTAGCAGAGTTACGGAAAAAAGTTGGGCAGAAAAAGTGTCCCCAGGGCGCATTTGGCACAACGAGAAAACGAGGGCGAACTCCTCCTCCGCCTCCACCTTCACCTCCACTCACCTGTCACGTGTAAATGCCGCCAGCGGCTGTTCTGACCCGAGAAGTGTGTCCTTCATCCCGGCTGCCAGCGTGTCCTTCCGAGCCCTGTTCATGTAAATTGAAAACAGTCGCCAAACGGCATTAAGGCGAATGAGGCAATGAACCGGGCTCTGTCTGCCTGCAACTGTGTCCGTACGGGCCAGGAAATGTATATTAAATTAAAAATTAACTGTCGCCAGGGATAAATTCTCAAATTGTATGAACGACGCGGAGGGCAACAGGCAATAATTGTTGGTTAAATGAACGATTTCTGTGGGTTCACAAAAGGTGTCTCATAAATGAATGACGCATGAGTTTCAATCTGAACAACAAAATCAATTCAAAATATATCCACTCGTAACAACAGATCTAGCAATTAAAGCAAATACATATACTTACATAAATATGTATTTATGTATGTAAATATATGTATTAATTTCGTGTCTCGCTCTTTCTGGTGGAACTCGTCCCAAACGTTCCAAATTCCTTTGAATGCTTTGCTTTTTTTTCCTGCTCTTTAATAGTAGTTTTTTTTTTAAATTTATTGATGCTGCTTTGTAACATAGTGTAATGTAAATCTGCTTCGGTGTAAAAATGTTTTTTGATTAAATAAAATATTTTCATATTTAGATTAAATATGTTTCCTTAAACACTTGACATGTTCAGGGGAGTTCCAGTTTTTAATTACGTTGCCGTTATGCGCAAAGTGTACTTTATCCTTTTGACCGCACAATTTAGCGTGTTTCGTGCACAATTTGGTTAGTTGCCGCTGTAGTTTGTGAGGAAGAAAAACGTACATTTGAATTGGCCTAATAATAATGAGCAAGAAATATTAACAAGAAATCGTTGCAGTTGAATTTTAAATACATACGTTTAAATCAAAGTAAATACTATTTATTTTCACCACAATTGTAGCTTAAAACCAAATATTGTAGAGTAGTTAATTTGATCAATAAACCTAATCAGCTTACTGCAGACGACTAGCTCTTCAGATATGCTCTTAAATATGAAGCCCCATTTACACTCGAAGCATTCATTTTCATTCATATTATTCATCGAGGGCAGTGGTGCAAATCTAGAAATAAACTTCAAAGCATTTAACATTTGCTCACTGACCAAGAACGCCCCCGACTCGGTTCGCCTGGCGATGTAATCTACACAATGCCCTGGTAGAGTTTTAATTGCTATGACACTGCCAAGACACGGCTGACTGGATAATGGAAGGAAGGAGAATTGGGTTTGGCATGGCACTGGGGCTGCAGCTTAGGTTGGGGGCGGGGGCGGGATAGAGTCCTTAGATGGGCATGTTGCTGCCCGTTTGCTGTTGTCGCTTTCTAATTTGATAAAGATAAAAATCATTTTATAAATGGCGTCACCGGTGCTGGCGCTGGTGATGCCGTCAAGTGAGCATTGCCCTGACAGACACAGAAAACCGGGCGGTCACTGCTAGCTCTCGGGACACTCTCGCAGCTCGTTGGCTTCGTCTTAATTGAATGCTCATTTCAACAAGCTACGCTTTGGCTCTCCAGCGTCGCCGGCTTTAATTGCATTTTTATTTCATTTCCCAGCAATTATCGCAAGTTCGTGTGCAAATTTTATAAACTGAAGAAGGAGACGAGGAAGCAGGTCAGCAGGATAGCAGAAACAAACGGGAGCGGAGCCAGAAGCGTCGAGAGCTCCTCGACACCACCTGCAACATCCTGAAGCCAAAAGGTCAATCGTGTCGTGAGTGTGCGAGGGTATCTGTGTCCGCAACCCGCTGTATGTGCAACTAGTTGGGTTTACGAGTACTACTACTCTGATGTGAGTGTGCGGTTTGTCCGATGTCCTGCAAACCGTAATTAAAGGCAGCCAGGACTTGTAGTCGACTCCTTCGTTGCTGTTACTGATATTTATTGTCGTTGCTGCGCTTTCTGCTCTCTTATTGTCAGTGCAACTCCAAGTTGCCGTTGCGAGTTGTTAGCAAAGCAATTAGCATGAGTTTGCCATTGCAACACACGGAGCCAGCAGCGACCTCGTCCGGCACCTGCTGAAAGTTTTCGTTACGTTACGGTACCGATGCTGTAGCCAGCAAATAAGAATTTAATTTATTTACTCTGCAGCAGGCAAAGTGTTGGCAAATGGCCATGTAGCATTTAGCTCTCAGCAAACAAATCAACCGTAAGTGAAACTTATGAAACAGGGCTAGGTAAAGCCAAAGGTAACGAATCCCTTTTGCTGAGATCCCCAATCATAAACCGTTTTGCTTGGAAACTATGCATGCAAATCTCAATGGTTTAATTTGTGTTGTTTTTATTTTGCTGAAAATTGTGCTGCGATATGTTGAGGAGGAAGTGGAGCTAACCATTATTAACCACTGACCATTATTAGTGCCTGCATTTAGCAGAGATTAGGCAGGAGTTTAATTTGAAAATAAAACCTCAATATGCCTCGCTAAGTTCCTGTCCGTTTGATCTATTCTCAGCTGCTTTACATTCAGCTTTCTTACGACGTTTCTCATTCAGAGCACTCTTACCATTTTTCCGACAATGGCTTCGATTTACTACAACTTTTTCAACCTCGAACCACAAAGACTAAGCCATCTCATCACTCTCTTCTTTGGCGGTAACCTTCAACACCTTTTAAGCCGCTTGGCGCGCCCTTCGATACCCTGAAGTCCCTGCAATCTTCCCATTTTACCGAAAAAAAAAAACTGTTGCTTTGTCCTCGCCCTCTTCTATTGCGTTTTATTCACTCAATGGGGAGTTCCTATCTAGCAAAGGATTTCGCTTGGCTGCACTTCCAGCGGGTAGTGGGTAGGGGTGGTTGGGAGTGTCTGGTATTTGGTTTGATTTTGGTGGCTGCACCTTCCCCAAAAGTTTCATCGTGGATTATGCAAAAAGTTTTTCATTAATGTAGGATTTAGATATTTTTTCACGCTCTGTAACTGCTTTTTCCTCTTCTCTCTGGTCCCGCTGAGCTTTACTGGTGCGCATTTTTTTGCACAGTTTCCTCGTTTCGTTTTTCGACTATTCGACTATTCTCTTTGGCTTTTTTCCTGCGTTCTGGTTGTTGACAACGCAACTTTGGTCCCAGGATACGGTAACTTTTGTTCACCGCACCGCAGCGCCAAGCTCCGAGCTCCGAGCGCCGAGCGGAGTGCAATGAAACTTGGCACCACCGCAAAACACAGATACGTTTGGATGGATGGATAGACAGCTAGACAAACACTTAACAACAGAACCCATGAAGATGCCACAAAGCGAATTTGCCTTCCCAAAAGCTGAAAAGGCAAACAAAGAGTGGATTAAAAGGCAAGACGAAGACTTCAAGAAATTGGTTGTATTCGAATGCAACTTTATAAGTTTATGCAGTGTTTGGTGTGTTTGTAGGTTAGCATAGCGAAATGAAGTAGGGAAAGAGTACAATGGATGGGTGATATAAACATATCAAAAATACTTTCATATAATTATATTATGGGTCATTTTCCATTTTGCCAAAAGCCTGAATCTCCCTGTTCCTGTTCAACTACTCTCACTCTGCTCAGAAAAGTTGTTTCAATTCATGTAGCATATGGCTAGGGCCCATCGGCAACTCCGCTGCCTTGCAATTAATTTATTATCAAATTCAAACATTTCTCTCAGTGGCATTTCTGCTACATGAGTCTTTTTTTTTTGCATTCACCCACATAACTTGGACTTTCTTTCTTCTTCTACATACACACATACCCACATATACATATTTATGTATGTATGTATGTATTTTCATGTATTCTTTTTTGGTATCTGGTTTGGTGTTGGTGGTTGTTTCTTTGGAGACACTTTTGCCGCTTTGCAGTGCAAATTGTTGGGTTCTGCCGGTCGGTCGGTCTTTTGCCAGTTTCATTCTTGTAGATTTTTTTGTGTGGTTTTTATTTTCTTTTGTGGTGTTTTCGATTTGTCTGGCGGGTAGGACCGCAGAGCCCCACAGCTCTTACTTCCGCGCTTTCAGCATTTATTTGAGTGTGTAAACTTTTGCTACTTGCATTTTTTGGGGGATTTTCTGTGGCAATTTCACAGTTGGGTCCCCCCGCCCCTCTCCGTGACAACTTTGATAGTTTTGTCAAAAGTTTTTATTGCGATTTGCTGCAGCTGCAAGTCGATTCCTCCCTCGTACAAGTAATGCTCATCCAAAAGAAGAGCCACAAAAATGAATACCTGAATTCCCCAATTGATATTTTTGTATGAGACAAGAAGAAGGGGGGATCATAAATATGGAATAACCAATACAAAGCATTATTTTAATTGAGCAATAAGTCTTTTGTTGGCCAACAGACATAAATATACATAAGCAGGCTGCTCGAAACGGGCTCGGAATAAAACGTTAATGTTTCAAATAATAATTATGGTAGACACGAGTACAATATGTAGGTAAATTATAATAAATGAGGCATATAGAAGAGCATTTGTTAGCTGAATCGAAGTTTTTTTTCCTTGCCTTTCACTTGTTATCACAATTATCGATGACCACGACGTCCCCGTAGTTGGGTGGCGGCGTCTCAGGGCGAGCCGCTGCTCCTTCCATCTCGTCCGTATAGAATCGTGATGTGGCCTCAAGTGGGGTTGTGGGAGTAGAGCGCTCCCGATCGCGACTGCTGAACAGGTTGCTGCGGCTCAGGCGACGTATCAGCGTGGCGGTGTTCTGGTTGATGGTTCGATAGTACTGAGTACGGGCCGGACGGCCAAAAAGGCGGCTCACAAAGCTGTCCTGCGGACCGTAGGGCTGGCGGACGACTGCGCGCGTGGAACGCTGGGTGTTGGAACGGCGTGGATTGCGAGTCCTCTGAGGCGACCAGGTGTGAATGGTGGGCAAGGTCTCCTGCGATGGACCTAGAGCAGCTGAGCAGAGCATAGAAGGACGACGCTTGTTAATGAAGGCTCGATGTTCGATATGTCTCGATATGGCTTACCCGTTTCACCCTCGGAAGACTCTTGTGTGGATTTCTTCTTCCGCATCTCGCAGCAACTCTTGAGGCACAGGGCAAAGGTGATGATAAATATGACCATGCAGATGCCAGTGGCACCACCCACAATAAACGCCAGCTTCAGGTCATCCGGGTCGTATGTGTGAGTGCGTTCGATCTCATCTGCCAGCGGATCTCCGCCGGCAAGCAGCTGGTGGCTCACCCGCTCCAGGCAGGTGCGATACCGCATACAAAGCTTCTCCCGACTGCCCTCGCAGACGTCACTGAGGGCAGACTGTTCCTCCTCCTCGTCGCTGTTCTCCTCGCTAGAGTCCAGCTCCCGCCACACCGCCAGCACAGACTGCGGTCCCTCTTGGGTGGTGGCCTCTAGGTTCTTGATGCGTTCGAATTTCATGGTCTGCCGTTCCTGCAGCTCTAGCTGGACCTCCTCCGGCGGTGGCTGTGGTTCCTCCTCAACGCAGTCACTCATGAAGATGGCCACTCCTCGCTGACGCAGTCCGGTGGACACTTTGGTCAAGGCGCGATCGCAGTTGAAGGGATTCTCCTCCAGATTCAGTGAGGCGAGGTAGCGAGGTGCGTGGAAAACCCCCGAGCTCAGGGTGAGGAGAAGGTTCTGAGCAAGATCCAACTGGCGCAGCTGGGGCAGGGCACTCAGGAGCTCTGCGCCCAGTTGGTTGATCCGAGAGTTGCGCAAGTTGAGGGAGCGCAGCGAAGGGCTCCTCAGCAGTGGACCAGTCCCCAGGGTGGCGAGCTTGTTTCCCTCCAGATTGAGATGAATCAACTGGGCATTGGACTCCACCAGGTGTTCGTCGATTTGTTCCAGGCGGTTGTAGGACAGATCCAAGTGTCGCAATCTCCGCAGCTCCGCAAAGCCATCAACGTACAGCGTGTGGATGGCATTATGGGCCAGGGTGAGGTTAACCAAGTGAACTGTGCTCTGTGGGTCATTGGATAATGCTAAGATCTCGATACGAAAACGCCTCGACCTACCTGGAAGGAGTCATCGTCTATGCTGGTGATATCATTGTAGCTCAGATCCAACAACTCCACCGTTTTGGGCATTTCTATATTGGCACTTATCAAGCGTTTGGCACTGGAACAAAACGGGAATATATTAGATGGAGCAATGATAAAAGCAAGTTGGTACTCACCTGCACACCGCTCGATTGCGTTTTTCATGGAGATCACACTGACAGACTGTGGGGCAGTACATCTGCAACTGGGTCTTGCTGCGGCACACCTGGAGCAGCACGCAGAGCAGGAGGCCCACGTAGAGGAGTATCTGCTTGAGACCCAACCACATCTTAGGTTTGATCACGCATTGCAGAGCCATAAGTATTCTTTTTGCTATTGGGAGGGGCTTCCTCAGTTAGAGCTTCGTCATTTTCGCCCTCTTGGCGCTACTGAGACTTACGACTTATGTTGTTAGTGCTCCGATTTGTTTCACTGACTGAGCGAATTGACTTTCGAACCAAATAATGACTAACTGGCGCGCTGCCTTCCAATGTTTGGGTACATGGCTTCGCCCAGGCCCAGCCTGCTCCTGTATCGACTGGGCTGCTTAGGCTATTAATGTGCTCTATCGCTGCCCTACACTTCCAGTAAGATAAGATAAGCTGCCTTGCTGGTATCTAATCAGCTGGCAGCAGACTTTTTGGGCAGAGAGTGAGTGAGAGTAGGTCGAGTCACATTGCAATTGTTTGGCATATGAATACCTATAGGAACCTAAAATAGTAACTGATAACCGATAATGCTTTACTTATGCTCTACTTTCACTTACCCTACCGAAGTAATTGTTACTTTTTTGATACTTTTTAATAACAAGAGAAAACTACTTAAAGTGCTGAAATGTATTTTAAGAAGTAGCAAATGGGTTGCGGGCTGTTTGCCATCAGAATTATAATTACTTCAACATTCATTTGGGAACACTACACTACGATTGATGTCCCATCAAAGCACCAGAGCTGAGACTGCTCAGCAAGAGCAAGTGCATAAGCCGCGCCAACATTGTGGACTGATCGAAAATATGAAATTGCTAACAACAAATCGAAAGGCGAGAAGTGGCGAACAATTACTTAAGACTAATTAGCGATAAGATTAACAGAAACTTAACAGCCAATCTATGTACAATAGCCCAACAATGAGCATTGAGTTGGCAAACCATTAACATTCGTCGCGAGAGAACGTCAATCAAACACTTTTAAGCTGTCATCGTTTTTATGCACTTATGCAGAATATTTATTGTACAATTTTACAATTGAATAGGACATTTGTACATGGTATTCAGACGCTGAATATCTGTTTCACTCATGGACAGACGTTGCCCCATCAGGGACTGTCCCTCCGGCCTAATGGCCACAATAGTCGGCTCGCCATTGACAGAGAATGCCAGTGAACTATAATGTAATATGCTACCATAGTCATAGGGCTGATCGTAGTTGCCAACATCGGTGTCCTCGTACTTGACAAAGTTTTTAGCATGGCCCTCAGAGATATTCTCCTCCACAATCCGCACAAACTCGTCACGGTCCGGGGAGCATTGCTGGTGATGGAAGCCCAGAGTGTGGAGCAGCTCATGCTGGATGGTACCCAGCTTGAAGCAGCCCTTGTCCAGCACGTTCGGCTTCAACTTGACAGTTCTTTCGCCAGGCTGGTAGCCCACCTTCGAGCTGCATCCTGACGTCGAGGTGGTTACAAAAAGATAATTTTCTTCCAGCTCGTTGGCGGGCACGAAGCGAATGCAAGAGGATCGCTCAATGATCTGCATTCCCAGCTTAATGAAGGCCACTTGGGCAGCATCTGTAATCAAGGGGAGTTTGAGAAGTTGTTTCTTCTCGCTTTGGAATCTCCCTTACCGAAATCCTCGTCTATCCTGTAGGGAACCGTTGCATTCGGCCAGCGACGCGTTTCGCTCAGCTGGCCATTCCGCTCAAAGTCTACTTCCATGTCGCCTTGAAAGTAGCCAGCCGTAAGCTCAGGATCTGTTTCCACATTGAAATTACTATAGGGAGCAGCTAAAGCACTGGAGCTGAGAGTGGCAACCAAGGCCAAGTGAATCCAAGCCGCAATCATTTTCGACTGAGCGAAAAATATTTGATTCTGCACCAATCGACTGTTAATATGGTACGTAATCGCTGGATAAGGAATTATAAAATTATAAGTACCCACGGAAGAGTATTATCGATAAGAGCTATCATAATTCGCAGCACTGAAGTTCACTGCTAAGATTTTTGTTGCATATTTGTGGGAGGACGATGGCGAGGGCTGTGGCGAAACTTTTGAAATTGCACTACTGACTCTTCACTTCACTTCACTTCACTCTCTCTGTGGGTAGCGAAACACTTTCATCCGCTGCATCTGCATCTGCCAACAGACCAACAGAAAAATACTTCAAGTCCGGCCTGGGGCCTTTTGGCCAACAGTGCAAGTTGATCGTCAACCAGAACAGCGAAGACTCGAGGCTAGTTAACAGCCCAGCTTGGGCTTCCGTTGCTGCAGCTCAGTCCCAGTCCCTGGCCAAGATGTAATGGATAGAATCCAGTTGTCCGCTCCCCTTCCTCCGCCAGCTTACGACTGAGCTTCCGCACTCGGTTTGCTGCCTTTACTCGTAATTTATGGCCATGGCCAGGCAACTACGACAAGGACCACTATGGCGCCTTCTGTCAGTCACAATGGGGCGTGGCCAGTGGTTGGCACTTCCGCTGTTTTCTCGGCTTTCTCGGCTTTCTCGGATCTGCCGCTTCCCAAGAGCCCCCATCGAATGATCACCGCAATGTGCAACAAAAATGAAAACTTTTCCACACACATTCGCAGCTCTGGGTTTTTTCGTTTTGGCGCGAGCTGGACCGTCGGAAATAGTTAACTTTTATATGCATTTCAAATCAGAAAGTTTTGCATTCAAACTTTATTAAAATTACGCTTGAAGCTCGGTGCCAATGGTGCCCGACCAGCTAACTCCTCGACTGAACGAATCCAAAGCCTGGCTATTTGATTTTTTTTCTCAATTTTAATTGTTAGTTCAAAATGTTGGTCGCCATCTTCATGGCCAACCCATCCCTCGGGGGTTTCCGTTTCTTTGTTTCTAGAATTTTAGGAGTGCAGTAAATTAAATAGGGAATAAAACAATTGTTTAAAACCCCATTTTCTAGTAGTTATCTCTATAACACCCTATGTAATCCCTACCCATAATGGGTATAAATAGTTGAATTTGGTTTGGTTCAAAAGGCAGCAAAACATTCTTCCATATTTCGTAATTATCTCAGTGTAAGTAGATAATTTGCGACAGTCTGCCTTGGGGCAGTGTATTCCATCTTCTTCCAAGTGAAAGGGGAAAAATTCCTAGTTTTCCTTTCTAGTTTTTTGGTCGCACATTTGCATTGTTGTTGTGACTGCTGGCGCCTTTTTGTGGTATCTGCTCCTCCCCTTCGGCCACTTTGTCCTTATCCCATTTTGCGCCCCTCCTCTCTCTGGGCGCCCGCACTAATGACCGACATTGCTTCCTAATTACAAAAGTTTTGCATGCACTCGCTGCACTCACAATGGAGGGCTTCGAGGGCACGGCCAGGACAGCTAAATTTTTGGCTAAATTACAAAAAAAAAGCGAAAAATGTTGGAGTTTATTTTATTTCCTTTATTTAATGTTTGAGCGCTTAAAGTTGAGCTTTTCATTTGGTTTTTAGTGGCACTAACTAACGACTCCATTAACCCAACGCGGCGCGAAGCCCCGTCAGACGAAGGCAGCCGCAGTACACATGTTTCGACGGTCAAAAGACCATGAAAACAACAAAAAAAGATACCAACAAATGTTGCTTACAGGCTGGGGACGAGTCTCTTTCAGTATATTCCAGTTACACATATGTCATGTGACACATGGCAACCCCGCAACACGACCAGGCCCAGGCCCAGAACCAAGCCTAGGCCCTGTCCCAGGCCCTGTCACCCACATCGCGTTCTGGCCTGCTCCACACTTAATGATAAACAATGCTTGCGGTCAGTTTAACATGCCGCGCTATTACCCTGGCACTCTGCCACTCTTTCGGCACAGCCAACGCCGAGCAACTCCCAACTCCCCTACATAACGAGAGGACAATTTACACGATGAAACTGAACGAGGCGACGAACGTCGCTCCAGGGTGGGGTGTTGACTTCGGGGATACCGTAGATGTTTCTCGGAAACATCTCAGGAACATTTATTGCCTAAATCTTTAAGTAAAGTATTTTGCTGTGACTATTTGGCGCCGATCTCTGGGGCTAGTCTTCTCTTTTGGATGTTCTTTCCTTTGAAAGCATGCAAGTCAGCAGAAAGGTGTCTGGTTCTATCATTTCGACCCTCGGCATCTCTTATTTCTTCTGCAGCACAAGAATACCCTCGCATATTCTAACATGCCCCGACTAACTCAGTTCCCAACCGACTAGGTATAAGTAGCAGCATGCGAAGGATAAGAAAAAGCAACAAAAACGGCATGCTTAAAAGAGCAGTAAATGAGAATTTATCCACTTGCTGGTCAGCGCGTGCCCCTGTCGCTGCTCCTCTGTCGTCACACACACACACAGACCCACATGCCACACTTACGAACACAAACAGACAAAGAGAGAGAGAGAGACGAAAACAGAGAAAGCGTCGGTCAGATGAGGGCAAAAGAGGAGTACACGCACATCGTAAAGTTTTAATCGGATGTTGTCCAGCTTTACATGACGCCATCTACTGGCTTAGAGTGCAATATCCTGTGGCACGCGATAACATCGGGCAAAAGAGTTGCTGGCCAGGAAGCGGGGGGAGCAAAAGCGGAGTCCTTGTTTATGTGAAGCGCCCGGGCAAACGCTTCAGGCCCTCTGCTTTTTGATGGCATTTCGCATGGGATGCCCACGCACAGCTACCTCACAGCCCCAGCCAACGGCCGACAGCCAACAATTCCATCCACGAGCAACAAAGAACAGTTACAGATGCCGACTCGATGCCAGGGCAAAAGCAGCAACAGCCGCTACAAAGGCTTAAAAAGCGCTCAACAGGGAAGCACAAAAAAAGCGGAGAACAAGGAAGCCGAATGAACAAAAGGGAATTATTTGGTGATGTCGAAGCATTTATGCCCTCTACACTTTGATGTTAAACAAATACAAATACAAGAGAGCTAGAAACAGCTCAATCCAAGGGATAACAGTAAAGTTTTCTTTCTCTTTCAAAGATTTAAAATGTCAATTATTACTAACAAAGTTCGTTTGCTATCGTTAAAGGCCTGTGACTTTGCGGATCAGCAAAACAAATCCATCTTACCCTTCCAGCCCCAAGTTTCAACAGAATCGCAGTGAAATGTGTTGTTCCTGTTGTGGGACTCCGTTTGGTCAGTCACTTGGCTAGACCAAACAGTTGCTCCGCGCACTCTTGGCTGGACAGGATGTCCAGAAGGGAGCCCACCAACCCACAGACACGCAAACACACACCACGCAGCCAGCCGACCGA